TCCCGGGGCGGACACACAGCGCCGCTTCCATCGTTCCGTGTCCGGGAGGGACAGCACATGTGACCGAGAGCATGCGGCACCGTGCTCCGCGACCGGCCGCCTTCTGCCCCGCGTGCGAGGCCCGCGCTCCCGGCCCGGCCCGGCCCCGCCGCTCCCGCCTCAGGCCGCTCCGCCAGGTTCGGGACAGCCGCTCGTTGGGGCGCTGCGAGCTCCCCGAGCGTGCACCCACCCTCGCACATATTTCTGTTTAAGCACAAACGAGTTGTTAATACTTGCGCTGGCTCCTGGGCGGGTTTCCAGGCGGGGCTGTGGCTGTCCCACCCGCGGTTCGGTGTTTCCAGGCCGGGGTTCGGTGCCCTGCCGCTCCCACCTCCAGCGTGGCTGAACCTTCGCAGGTAAAAGGCACTAAAGGGTTCCTGCTTTAACACTTTGCAGTCCCTCCGAAATACATTGGTATATTCGTGGAAGGTGAGACGAGCAGAAGGGCCCAATCAATCTCTTGCCTAGCCCGGCCCGAGTTCACACCTGTGCTTGGGGCTTAGGCAGCTGCTCACAAACACGCCTGTGCCTACTCCCTGCTGCTCCGGGAGTGTTTGGTTCGGTAAAACAGCAAATAATCCTTCCGCTCGGAGACTGACAAGGGTTAACTCAGAGTTATGGTCAGTTGAATATGTTGCCAGTGAGAGTTTAGTGTGTTACAGATATTGGGTCAGGTTATATGTGAGTTTTTCTTTTTAGATAACTACTTCTGTTAAACGCTCTGGTAATGAAGAACACTCAAACCAGCATTGAATACCATTCTAGGAGCTGAAAATACTCCAGTTGTGAACTGAAGTAAGTAAATGGAATTGCTTCCTGTAAAGTGCTTTTGTTTTGGGCTTGAAACATTATCTGCTACTTTATTTGAAGTGATTACCAGTTCCTTAAAAAGGCTGAGCAATGRGTGAAAAAGCCATTTTGCAGACCGTTATGATGGCATTTCAAATGGGTTCAAGGTACTTAGCTTTTGTTTTCTTAAAACTTTTAGGGCATTATTTCTACTTTAGCCTAAAACTTTCAAGATATTTTTTGTAAGGGTTACTGTGAATTGCTTGAAASACCTAAAATTCTTTTGAGGAGTGGACTGACATTGTGAAATGCAAGGTTTTTAGGAAGGCTAGCCCCTTAGCTATATTTTATCTTTTTCCTCAAATAAAATACATATTGGTATGTCACTACAGTATGAGGTAGTATATAGCTTTAACTCATTTTATCAATCCTGATACAGATATTGAACATATACACATCTTGCTGATGGGAGTAAGTACTCTGAACATCAGAAGGGCTTGAAAGAGTTCAAATCCCGGTGTATTTTACGCTTTTTAGAAATTCTCTTAGGAAGACTAAGATTGCAGTAAAGCCTAGTTGATAATTATCCTGAGAAGAATGTTGGTTTTTTTTTTTTTTTTTCTAGGCAAGTCTATCAGCTTGTTTGATGTTCAGAAATGTTCCTGTAAGGAAGGTTGAGTGATTTGTTTGGCTTTTAGGCAGCGTTTTTGGTACAGCTTTCTTCTGGCTCTGCTGGTAGGCTGCACCTGAACCCACAAGCCAAGTCATTCCATGTAGTGTGAGAGTGCGATTTTTGTCTCCACATTTTCTRCTTTTGAAGCATGTTTGTTTTGCACTTGCTGCAAGTTTTTTATGCCTTCCTTTGAAACAGAGGGAGGTTTAGTTCCACGTTAAGCAGCAGCAAATTGCAAACAGCCAGCACCTGTTCCAGGCAGTCCTTCACACTCCCTTATAACCGTGGGAGGAGCTTGTCGCAGGTGCCATGAGTAAAGGACAAGATGAGGGAAAGCATTTTGGGCTTTAAAAGAGGCCTCAGATTGAGACACTTGAGCAGACAGATGTGGTAGCCGTTGCTGCAGTTGCTCTAAACACGGTACTTTTGTTAGCGAGGAATATTTCCAATATAGATGCACTCSGCAGCAGACTATGACTGGTGTGAATAAATTCTGGTCTCCTCTGCCTGAAACGAGAAGCATGCTGTATTTGCTCCCAGAGGTAGGTCTTTGTTTTATAATTATGGGAAACTGCAGTTGTTTTCATTATCTTTGTATGTCCTGGAGTAACGTTGTTAATGAAGATCAGTTGTCAGGTATTTTTATTCAGCAAAAAAAAAAAAAGTTCATTCATATGTGTGGAGTTTTAACTACTTCGAAACACTGGCTAAATACTGTCGAGAGCAATGTGTTTTCACAAGAGTGAGAACTCACCAAAGCGTCAGTTTAAGTTGCTTTAAGTGATACCAATTCGCTGTTAAAAGCACTTGGCACATCCTCCCTGTGTTAATGGCTTTTCTTACCAATACTCATTGCTCTGTTGTCACCCAAGGAGGAGGTGATGAGAGAGCAGCTCTCTGGGAAGTCTCTGAAGCTGTGCATCTTCGTTTGGAGGATGGTAAAAGAGGGCCTGTTTGATGCATCCATGACCTTGATCACCTTATTTACTCAATATATGCATCAAAGGCGATATTTGTACTACTTTCTCCTATTGCACTTATCATGGATTAATTTTTCCTACCTGTGGAGATTAATTAAAGTGTGTTTTCATMGAAGAATCTTTGTACTTCAGAAGGCTGGAAGAAGACCTTCCAGTAGATAAGATTAGAAGGAGATGCAGAGATGTTTAAGAAAAATGCGTTTTGCATAGCAAGTGCTTGGATTTCTGGAAGGCTCAGTGGCAGTCAGCACGAGGGAGCCCTTGGGTTTGAAGRTGAAATGAACAGATAATGTGCCTGTGCCTCTGTCCCCTGTAAAACACCATTCTCTTGCATGGAATCGAACTTGTACGTGTCTGTTTGTAGTCCCTTTCACTTCCTTCCTCAGACCTTTGCAGACTAGAGAGAATGCATCTAAAAGTCACTGATTTGATCCTCATTATCAYGTCCTTGATTTGAGTGTCTATCAGACAAGAAAAAGTAATTTGTTAAGAAARATGTGTGGAAGCATCAATCCCAGGTCTTATGCCACAGCTCATCTGAGAGAAAATGAATTGTCTTTTGGTGCTATGAACTCTAAACTGTAAATCAATCTGTTGCTACTGGATAACATTCCCCTATAATTGCCCATGAATGCAGACTCAAGTACTTCAAGTATTCACAGATGCAGAACATCAGAAATAAAGATTATAGTAAATCAGATGTCATGAATATGGATATGTATGTTGCCAGTAAATAGTCTGAGTTATCTAAATTAAAATTCAAAATTATATATTGCAAAGGAAGTGTTCTTTGTTTTTTAAGAGTTGGAAAACATTTGCAGTATTCTTCCTGTCATTACTATGCACATAATAATCATGTGAAGCAAGTGATACTTCTTTTCATGCTGCTTGTTTTAAATAGCTTTTATTTCTCAAATTGCTCTTAAAAATAGACTAAGGGAGAACTGTAAAAAGCAGTGGGCCATGGATCTGGTCTGAAGCCACTGACAGCAGGCAAAATCACTGGCCTGTTTTCTGTTTTAGCAGTAAGCTTTCTGGACTAAGGTGACAGCATGGAAAAGCTGTTCATGTCAATTAAATATAATATACAAGTTGTGATTAAAAAATGTTCTTTGGGCTTCGGCACTTGGCAACCAGAAACCCAAAACACTTTCTTGGGGCTGCTGTAGCCACTTGGGCAGCATCTTGAGAAGTGTCTTGCTCTGAGCTGCCAGACTTGGTGCTGGAGTGAGTGCACATATTCTGTCTGCAGGCTGCTGTGTGTGGGTAGATGCTTTGAGAGAGGGGCTGCAGGCAGTGAGAGCACCAGGAACTTGTGAAATGCATTGCAGCTGTTCTCTTGTAGCTCTGGCAGAGAGAAGATAGAGGATTAAGACTGGATAATGAAGATGCTCCATCTTCTCTGCTAGATGCCTGTTCTGCCTCTTCAGTGGTTGTGGTGCCCGAGACAAGGACCCACGATTTCCTTGTGGCTTGGTTTGGTAGCTGAAGGTACACATTGCTCTCAGTGTCTGTGGCTGTGCCAAGCTGGGAAGGGCTGGGAGTGCTGCAGGGCTGGATGGTGAGCCTGTCATGGAAGCTGAGTGGATAGCTGCAGCAATATCTTCACCTCTTGTTTACTGTCAAGAACTGTTTCAGGATATCTGTAAGAAATCTGTGTGTCTGATCCTCACTGCTCCAGTCAGCACCTGCAGGGCYTCATTATGTGCATCAGTCTCACCTGACACTTCCACCCGTGCGCCCTGCTTGAGGATCCAGGAGCATCAGTTCAGCTTTCAGTCAGGGCTAGGGTCCACGAGGGATTGTGGTCAGCCTGCTCCCCTGCTTGGCCTTGCTTGTTTTTTGGATTTCCAGATGGGTTTTGGACTTGGTGTGTCTCTGGTTTGTCTGCTGATGGCAATGAAGCCCTTGGCTGCCTGGGCTCTGGGGTGSTGGCTTTGTTGGTGAGGCTCTGCCCTGCCTTTGCCAGGCTTGTCCTCAGCTATTTAGGTACCCCCTGTGCAGAGAGATCTATATATCTACTGACACCCTATGCTCAAGACAGCTACTGAAGTTAATGCTGGCTTTTCATTCCTCACTGTGTGTTTTATGATTATAGCATCAGAATTAACATTAAGTTTCTTAAAATTATTTTTTTCTGGTATTCCAGTTAAAAAATAAACTAC